CATGGTGGCGGGGACGAGCTGTGGAGAAAGGCACCCTTACCTGTCCTTGAGCCAGGCGACAGAGTGAGGGAAAAACAAAAAAAAAGAGTAGATTCAGCATGTATATACGCTGCAGCCGGGAGCCATAAATCATGACCTTCTTCAATTTACACAGGGAGCATATTGATGGTTTCCTATCTCCTTCACTCACTTTCACCTGGTTACATTGTCTAAGACAACACCTCTCTGGGTAACCATGACTGACACTTTACAGCCTATTCTCAGTGGACTCTCACCTTCCCGCTGCTGAATAATCCTCACGTGAGGCGAAGGAAAGGAGCGTGAGTGTACGGTAGTGGTGAAGGTTGCACTAACAGTGTGATCATAGATTTCCTGAAAGAGGAAGCCGACAAGGTTGCCTGATTAACAGACCGCAGTGTGACAGTGTCAATGCCCTTTCTTAAGCACAGGCTGGCCCGACGACTGGTGACGATTTAAGGAGAATAAAACACGGTTGACAAGATGGAAAGTCACTCTGAGGACAGTGGGGCCATGCCCTTATTCCTCCTACATGACTGAAAGCAGAGGAAAAAAACACCTGCAATCCCACGAGCAAAGAGCTGCAACGATGAGAAGTTCATGAGACAAGTGATTACGTGTTTTATTCTCCTTGCAGTTATTTCTCAGCAATCCTAAAGTGTCCGTGGGTGACACCTTTACATCCACCACACTAACATACTGGGGTTGCTGACGTACTGTGCAAAACAATCCACAAGTTAATACACAGTTGTTATTTCCAGCAATAATATGGAGTGGCGGGCGTAGCCGTGCCAAGAGAATACATAAAAAATGAAAAAGCCCATTTATTTGTTTAATTCAATCTTCTGTTGAGAGATCTTTTCGCTGGACATCATAGTTGATTTTGTTTAAGGGAATGGTTTGTGGCAGGCTGATTAAACACAGACTTACTCCCCCATCCCCCATATTGGCTGAAGTTGAAAGCCCAGTAAATGAAATGACTTCCACAGGATTGCACCACAAAGGAAGGGAGTGTGTCAGATGTGCATTCAGCCAGTGTTGTAGCCAACGCAAGGTCAAACGGGACATTGTGTAGACAGCTAACCAACTGACAGTCGGGACAGGAGGATGCCGTTACACCCCAAGGCACCCCCTTGCTAAATGTACAAGTGCACACAGACAGATGCACAAATTCACGATCGGTCATGCTAGGCACCGTTTGACTGTACATTTCATATGCCAAGGCTCTACTGCAATACTAGTGAAATGAAGTTATTAACATTCGCTATTATTTTGATGTTATCCATCAAATAGAACAAAAAATCGATCTAAAGGGGTGAAAAGTGACATTACTGCAAATTACTTTATATTACATGAACTAACAGTCTGTTCTACTTTGGATAGAATTACTTATTATCGATGGGAAAGACAAGACCTTTTAATGTTTATTCAACTTTTACAGTATATAGACATTTGATAACTAACCTAAAAAAACAGTTTTTTTGGAGGTGAGTGTCTAACTGCAGATGTCATTTTTTTTCTTGCATCTACTGTAATGTTAAAACACTGCATATTTTTCTTTATGTTAGGGGGAAATTCCATTAAAATACATATGTTGTTACATTGTAAAGTGTCAGCATCATTGCAGGGTAAAAACATCCTAACCTGCAATTTCATCTACTTGTTAAAAGCTAAAAGCTAAAGCTTTCTTATTCCGTATCCTCACGTCTATCAAGAGTTTATAATACTGATGCTCAAACCGCTTTATAAACTCAAGGATACAGTGTTGTTGAGGTTATCCACGGAGGCAATCATCACGAGCTACAGGGCTCGAGCGGGGGGGGGGCTTTAATCACAAGGTTGATGGTTTGATCCCGGACTTATCTGCATGTTCAAGTGTCCTTGAGCGAGACACTGAACCCCATGTTGCTTCACAGCAGCCCACTGCTCCTGATAATTATGATAGGTTAAATGCAGAGGTCAGATTTCATGTATGTATGTGCGATGATAAGAATAAAGTTTATTAACTTAAAGAAAAAACAACAACACAATAGTCTTTCTCAGGACTGAGGGCTGAGGTTAACATCTGATAAAGACCACTGTGGTCCAAACATTGCCACGTTCATGTATAATAAACAGCAGTGTGTGTTTTTCTTCTTTTCTTTTTTGGTATCCATAAAGGACCTTGTAATTCCCCCCCCAAAAAACAAAATGGGGATATATTAATAAGTGAACCGTGTCCGTAAATATGTTACAAACTAAACATTTTCGAAGATTGATTCCTTCCCGTTTTCGTTGATGTTTAAAGAAATAATTTGCAGGGATTACATAAACCATGTGATTTTATTGTCACTGTACATTCAGTGCACTGTTAGATCTGACTCACTCCAAAAAAAGCATATATTTACACATGGGTACATTAGGCATGAACACAACAAACAAAACACAAGAAAATGCCACACAATACTGCAGTGAAACCCAGCTGTTGTTGGCTTTTTGCTTCTTCATCCCAACATTTCACATTTGTCTCCCCCTTTGTCTCCCCAGGATTGTGTGTGCATAGCTACCCCGTCCTATTCCAAGCATAGGCTAAGTTTATAATTAAAATGAACCAAAGCTCCCTTTTAACTTGATTCATATATCACAATTGCTAACATATTGCTTTTGAGGGGAGTAAACCTCTTGGGTAATCACATGTCTACGGTACACACACCTAGCAGGGTCCTTTATACACCGCGGACCAGAACGGCCAGGGAGGTTCCTCCATGTTTTATGTAAATCTCGTCATCTCAGAGTGCATGGAGATAAGATAACTCTGCAAATGGAACAGCGAATAAGCAGCTTTCTCCTCCGAGGAATGTGATCCCCAATTGCAGCAGGTTCATCTACATTTTTTTTAATACCCAGTCAGTGATGTCACTTTATTTCTGTGCCACCGATTCCCAGGAGGAACCCATGGCCCGCTTCCAAACCCAGTGTAATTTTCAAAACATGAATTGAGGTATAGGGTCTAGACTACTTCACTCGCTATACGTCCTGCTGTGCTGATGACCAAAATCGATGACAACACAGAGTGTGTGTGTTTCAGCCTTGAGGGACACAGAAAGGAAAAAGAGAATGTCCCACCTTAGACCAAACATAACAGATGCACATGACTCAATACAGTGATTTATATTATACAGCTATTCAGGTGGGCTCTAAACGTGTGTTCAAGTTGCTGATACACCATAAAAAATGAATTATACGGGCAGATTAAACAAACGATCGTAAGATCAATGCACAGCAGCTACAGTATAGTATGAAATATGCACAATACATTTGCGGCGTACAGCACTTTACAGTATGTCCACGTTGTTAACAAAGCACAGCTAAATGTCAGTCTGATGCTCCACAACACAGGGAGCATAGGTGGCCATATTTGCCTTGCATAGCCCAGTGATCGCTCTGTTATGAAACTATTACAGACACGCATGAAATCGCCATTGTAAAGGTTTAGACAAACCCTCCCCACCGTCAACCGAAATAAAGCGTCTCTCGTCCCCGAGGTAGAGCCAAAGCAGAAATTTAATTGCTCCATTTCTATTGAGAATTTCAGCTTAGGAGACAATTAGAATTAATTGGATGTAGTAGAACCGTTTTAGAACTCTGAAAATAAATTAGGCATTTTTCTTTTATTTTCTTATATTAATTTGAGAAGAAGGGAAAGTTGGGAAACAATTATCTGGCACTAGTCTTCAAAGTGCAGAGTTAGGAGGTACATGAGGAAGAGGGGAGAAGGTCGCTTTGCATGTTTTGGTCAAGTTTTGGGCCAGAATGTGTTCAATGGCTTGAAATACTCTCCTTTCACTATGGTAATATAAAAACATCAGTGTTTTATGGTAGTTTCATCTCTTAGTTAGGCTTCAGGGCGAGACTTCACACAGCGTCTTGTACTGACAAAGAGTCTGATCTTTAATCAATGCATATATTGAGTGGACAAAAAAGATGTTTAGCTGTTATCACTGCCATCGTAGGTTTGGAGGATGTTTAAAATGAAAGGACGCACAGCTGGATGATTAGCAGAGTAAAAGTACAACCATTAACAATCTACTGTAAATAACATCCATGTTCACTGGCTGGCTCAAAACGCAGTATGATCAGTTTTTCATTGTTAAGTATTTGAAGACACAACGCTTTGGTTTGCTACTGTACAGCGGCCCCTCACTTCAATCGGGGATGGATTAGCTGGTTACACAATTGGGGAAGTGCAACATGGGAATTGTATTCTCTACTGTGTTGGGTTATAATTATCTATGCATTTCATTACAGTGAATCAATAGCATCTGTTCCTGTGGGGATCTTTGCAAGTGTAGAAACTGGCCTACATCTGTAGTTACTGGTCGCTTGGCTTTGTGTTTTCTGCTCGTTTGGGCAGAAGCTAATGACCCTTTAAAACACTCTTAAGACACGGCTGCTTGAGAGTGTTCATAAGGGACAATATCTGTCTCATTAACATCCTAAGAGCAGCTGATTATTGTATTATTTTGATCTTATGACATGTTATAGTTGTATCACATTATTCTGCTTGCATTCTTTGAATAATTTGGCAACTGGTTTACAACTGATAAAGATTGCCTTAAAAAGTCTATTATCATTTCTGTAATATACAGATTTATTACCTTAGTTTGCATCAGTTTTGTGTAGAAATGAAAATACGGTGCCCGTCTGAATGATTAGCAACTACTGTACATTACAGATGAGCAAAATAATTGTCAAAGATACAGAACATCAGTGAGCCGCAATCCGTGGTTTGATATATTCTGTCATTATTGTTGAGTTTCAAATCAGAGAGGAAATCAAGGTAAGCTCAGAAACACAAGTGTCATTATATTGTTGCACACTAACATCTAAACCAGCAGCCATCTGTTAAAAGTCTGCCATTTGAGATCGTTACTTATCAAGGAGACAAAGGGACTCAACACCCTCAGTTTAAAAACAAAAAGGAACGTTACTTTTATTTGAACTTGCCCCCCCCCCCCCCCTGATAGATCACAACAATCAAAGATAGAAAGATTCAAAGTTGGCAAAGTCATAAAAGAGGAGAAATTACGCCCAATATAGAGCCGCAATATTTAACGTGTAGCATTATTGCTGTGAATATAGTGACACTTGTCTGAACCTACAACCTAAACAAAGAGGGATGGATATACGAGAAAAAGCAAAACCTATACAATATAATGCAATCTAATACCGCACCATCACAAACTGTGGACTCAAAAATGACCGGAGTTGAATCAGCGCCTATGTGACACAAACTGAACATTATAAACTTTACAAAGGTAGTATTTATTGCAGGGCTATCAGGTTGCATTACAGAGCGATTTTAGATTGCATTAAACTGCATAGATGTTGCCGTTGTTGTACCTGTATTTAGATAAAATAAACCTCTAAAATTCTCAGCGCAGAATATTACTTGCGTGTATTTTTCACAGTATACTAAGTTGCCAATATTTGTGTGTAACACTGAAGACAGAGAGAAGTGAGGAGTGAATTTTGTGTCTATAATGAAAAGAAACACTGACTGAGACTTAATACAACACTCATTATTGCCACGTTATTCATAGATGCTTAGTGCAAACTCTTTGTGAACTATGATTCCCAGCCAACCAGAGTCCTTCTGTAAGCACCAAGTCGACTACAACCGCTGAGTTGATGAAGCTACTACGAGGTAAATATATTTACGAGGAAATCGAGAATCTCACAGACCCCTGGTCGCTTTTCTTTGATGACGAATATAAGAATATGTCTAACAATTCTTCCCCCCTACCCGCCAAGTGCAATTTCACACAATATACAGTACACATATTATATGTAGACCAGTTAGAGACTATTGCTTTAACAACTGAGATTAGAAAATACGAAAGAAACAAACAAAAATCACATCATGTGGCTATGTAGCCGTACAGTTCTTCAGGACATTTATATTAACATACTTCCATTTTGAGATGAAAATAAGATAGGAAACAAATTCACAGAAGCTTCAGGTGATATAGAGCAATGGGTCTCTGGCTATAACAAGACCTCGGTTGCCTGATTTCTGTACACAACATCTTTATATACATCATCGTGATCCCATGTCAATCAGGTTGATATTCACCCTTTTTAAAACCATTTCAAGTCCCTTTTTCTTTTATGTTTATAACCATTTAAAAGTGTTAAAATGACTCAGTAGTCCAAGCATCATCCTTTCACTGTCAATTGGCACACCACCTTTTATTTTTTCATGGGCTGTCCCTCTCCTCCCATTGAGTGATGCAGCTGTCTGTCAAACATCTGGCCCAGGTGTCAAGCCTTGGCCTCCAACATCTCGAGGAATAGTTTGTGCATGGGGACTTTGCCCTGCATTTTGATGCCGTAGAAGTGCTGGACGGCCTTGGTGGCGGTCTGACGGAGCAGAGGCAGGGTCATTAGCAACTTGCCTGCCCGTCGAGGGTCCTCTGGGTGCTGGGAGCCCTCAAACTCCTGCAGAGCCTCGTGGAGAGAATCCTGCAGCCTTTGGACGGCCTCGATGTTCTCTATATGCATGGAGTCTGGAGCAAGAAAGGTGGTGGGAAGGGATGGAAGGAAGAAGGAAAAATATTTCTATTATGCTTATTTGAAAGCTTCATATTAAATGACAAATGTATTGAATGAAAGCAAACATTTTCTATCGATCTCCAGTATGACAAAAGACCTACAACAACAAGGCGGTGTTTTGCCGCAGCATTGGCTGCCTTTAAAGTCAGTCTTTGCAAACATGCAATTTCGGAGAGAGGTTTTCTCTTGGTAGTAGTTAATGACGCTCCTTAAATAAATGCCTATGCGTGGCCAGGGCTCTAGGGAGAGAAAGGGAGAGGTACTGTAGGTCTGTATAAATATACGGTGGGACAGGAAAAAGATTCATTTCTTCTGGTATCATGGACCACATACATCCCCCCTGCTAATGAATTCAGATGGCTGCATTGCTAGGATATCGTTCAGCTGAATGATGGCGGCAGATGGCCTTCATTTCCATAAGAAAGAGCAGTTGGCCCCCTTATGTATAGGCTCTAAAATAAAACCAGTTGAGACTTATTAAAAACTGCTCTCTATGTATAAGTCTACAAGTCAGGGACAAAAAAACAGGCTTGTCCTCCAAAAGGACAAGCTGACAGAGAGCGTTTTAATGGACAAGCAGTGGTTTGCTTTCAACCAATTTCACTGCACAGATTTACATATCATTTAGTGTCGGGTCTAATCCGCCTATGTATCATATCCACAATTCATTAACTGATTGATACAATTGTGCACAACACAATGTGAATTCAAGTCAGTATTATAATTGAATTTGAAACGATTCATCTTGTTGTATCTAACAGAATAAGAGCGACTTGTATCATCCTAAACACACCGCATTACTGACGGTAAACCAAACGTGGCTGCTGATTGAAGTGAATTAGATCAGCTCCGCTATGTGTCATGAAAGTTGTGGAGGGAAGTAAGACCGCATATAAACATGTAAATGAGGCAGAAAAAAAGGAAAGTACAAGGCTAATTATGTTCCTAACTGACTGATTAAGTCTCTTTTACCAGTCGCCTTCTGTGTAAATTGCGTTTCTATCTTGGGAAATTAACTAGGCTATGTGGACCGCACATGTGTTCCAGCTCTCTTCATTTGAAACCTTCATGTTAATACTGATCTGATCCTCGTTTGGCTGTGTGAGCACATGTGTGTGAGTGTTAAGCAGAGAGGGGAGGGGACGAAAGAACATGTTTTTTCAAATGTGTGTCAGTGTGTGTAAATGCACATGGAGAGCATTTTCATATATGTGTGTGTGTGTTGAAGGATGTTAGGGGCGGAATGCAAAACTAACTTTGAAGAAACAATTTCCATGTAATCCGTCAGCAGCCTGGCTTCAATCCCATCGATACTCCGCTAATTACAAAATCAATGGCCATGAATTTCCACAGCTGTCACACCCACAGGACCCCTGGAGCCGAAGCTCTCCGAGGCTGTGTTCAAACGAGCCGAAGCTGCCCTTTCGCCCTCCCTGAGCCTCCCCCTCAACCCCTGCCTTCCTCTCTCACACTTCTCCCTTACCTTTACATCCCTGTCTTTCCATCAACCCCCAACCCCCCTGCCCCTTCCCTCCGGCTCTCCCCTTCGCATTTATCCTCCCCTCTCTCCCCTCTCCCATGGAGAGTTTGTCATCAGAAGACTAAAGCTCTGGCCTCAGCATTTTTCATTTTTCAGTCAGGCAGGAGAAAAGACTCCTAACAGGCATTGATTAGTGGGGGACAGCCTGGCCTCATGAAAAGCAAACTGTCGATACAGGCACAGCGTCTTCACATTGGAACAAACGAGGCCCGTCGCTCCCCAACGCTCATTCCACTCCACTTAACACATTTTATTGACAGCCCCTGTTTTCCTAATGAAATGCTAAATATATCTCCCTCGGCTGTGGCGCGCTGGCAGCCACTGTTATGGAGATGGAGAGAATGAGAGCGCAATGTGACAGTCTCACACACACACACACACGCGCACACACGTATGTGCACAAAGTTAAATTAGAGCTGCACACACACACTCTCACACACAGAGAGCGTTGAATTAAACAACCGTGCTCCTGACCTTTTTGTCCCCTCTTATCAGGTCTCCTTCAGCGTGGAAGTGATCGGCTCGCCAGATAGAGACAATCACTTGCCATTTTTTGTTTTATTTCTTTGTTTGCTTTAATTGAATGCCAACCATCTAGATTTATTTAAGATTTAATATAGAGATATACCTTCCTGCCAAGCTCATGACACCAAAATAAAGGATGTTTGGCTACTGACTGCGATTTGCAATAAAAATCCAAGTTCTTGATGATACCTTTAAACATATAATTTTAAAAATCAAGGACCGAAACTAAAAGTAATTCATGTTTAACACTTTGTTTTATAGAGTAAGTTCTAAAATAGTTTCTATTATATTTTCCTTAAATTTCCACTTTAGCTTTAAGTGTTGAAAAATCTCAAGCATTCATCTCATTCCAGGTTTTCACTGACTCCATGTTTACAATGAATGCGTTTCAAATCCAAGACTCCATCAAATAACAGTATCCTTGACGGCTTCCCACATTTCCCCAAAATACATCCTGAAATATTTGGTATATTTGGAAACTTTGGTGTCTCCACTACAATGTAAAAAAAAGTTCTGTGTGTCTGGACAATGTTTGGCAGCAGCGCATCACTTCAGAGTGACCAACAGTGGGTTTGAGGAGTTAACTGTACCCGAGTTGGCGAGGGCGATGGCTTTGAGCGTGACGAACTCTTCCTTCTCCATGCGCAGCTTCTTGTAGCGTCGGACCAGCGGCAGGATGGCGACGTGCAGGTCCAGCAGGCCTGAGATCCTCGCCTGCTCCTCGTCCACCACGTAGTCCTCCGCGTACACGATCTCGTCCTCACAGGGCAGCGAGCGAAACACGATGCTCAGCACCAGGATCTCCATCCAGGCACTCTGCAGTAGACTCATCTGGTCTGCCAGCGAGAGAGTGGAAAAACCTGCAGAATTGAAAAGAAAATGTATTATTTTTTGGGGAGATTTTCTTTCCAGGTATTGCTGCGCTCACATTGCATAACCACAATATGAATCATGAGATAAACCCATTAACCTCAATGCACTGTGACATCTTGGTCCTCAGGATGTTTTATGGGCTGTGTATACAACCCAGTATAATCCCTGGAGAAGTCCAACTTGAAACAGAGGCCGATGACTGTATGTGGTGGCTTAAGGGAGGAATATAAATCAGTCAAGTATGGAGGCCTTTGAAACATGAGCCATGGGCGCTTCAACCGTCGACTGAGAGCCCTCTGCAAGCCACCACATAAGCACATGAGACACCGCCATAGTGAGGACAAATCCACTCTTAAACCTCACCATCTCTTATTCACGTCATGGTACAGAAGAGAGAATAATAAATTAATTCTTCTTCAGAACAAAATACATGAATTCTGCATTTTAAAATGGAGTAAATAAAAAGCGGCCTCTGTCACTTGATCAGTATTTCTGGTTTATGTCACCTTCAGGGTTCTTCCTTTATATAAAGTGAATCAATTAGTCATGTCAATTTTCAAGAGCGAGGCACATAAAGGCAATCTGGATTTATAATAAGGCCAGACAGGAATAAACAAGGAGTTTAGAGGATTGCATTTGTTCTCTTGGTTTTAAGCCCACATTCATACACATAATTGCAGGACTTCTCTTTAAATGCACTGCATTAGTATTATTGCAGAGAGACACAATGGTGTGGTGATGTGAAAGATTTTCAATCCAGCAAAGGTGAGACAAAACAGAAACATATTCCACCTGGTAGACACCTTCTGGATCCTTTTGTCTCTTGTGTTCAACCTTCTGCACTCGAGTTAACAATCCATCCAAGATCTCGAGGTCGACCCATCAACTCTCTTCTCCAACATTCACACCCGCCACATCAAACAGACGGATATGTGAAAGGACCTCAAGCGCCACAATACCTTTCACTGCTCCATAGTGAATAGGAGGGTGATTGGGGGTATTGACCCACGGGCCTTGAACCCACCACGCTGCTTACTTAAATCTGAGGTTGTATGGAGGGGAATGGGGCAGGTCGACTTAAAAGAGGTCCTCCCGATGGTTCTTATCAAGCAAATAGAGAGACAGAGAGAAAAGAGTGCTGGGGGTGTCATTGATTAGTAGATTGTAATCAGTCCACCGAATGCGAAAGGGGGATCGATCCAAGCCTCAGATCTGACAAACAGACAGTTGATGGAGGACATCCGGTACACGTTTAGCGGGGGATGGAGAGACTACGGGATCACTGAATGTAGATACTGTACGCTGCATCAGGGATTCAGGAATTTACTCTCCATCCCCAAAAGACAAGAAAAGTAATGGCTTTAATCCCATAAGGTGTATTCAGAATAATGAGGGAGGACCAACAACTAAAACATATTACATGTGTGGACAAAGTGAGTAAGAAAATTAGAGCAATGATTCAGACAAAAAGTAATGCTTATTATGAGTGTTTAACGAATCAAACCTCTGAAAAAAACACTCATAAATCATTTTTATTCTATCTTTTGGGGCACCATTTCTTTTGCTCAGCGTTTTATTTCTACACTTCTTTACACATTTTGTGAAATAGGCATCACCCTCTTAAGCTGTCTCCTCCTTTTCTTTATCATTCTTTTCTTTTCCCCAGCCCGTGTCTGTTTTTTTTCTTTCCACTCAATTTACTGAAGCGATGGAGTGACTTCCTGGCTCCCTGGGGGTCGCCCCGGAGCTTCAGGTGTGTCGCCCGGAGGTGGCTGAGTTAAGTGTCGCTGTGGAGGGTGATTCCCCCCTGATGAAATATCAATATTTCACCCCACTGATATGCTGCCGTTTGACCAAACATGACACAATATTGAACAAACTGGGGAATGTCTCCGTCTCCACCTCTGCAGTTTTCTCCCCTTGTGATGGCAAAAAGCATGAACAGAGACAAGGATGCCACAGGCTTCCACTACACTATGTGAACTTTAATTATTATCTACTATGCTGTCCAACAAAGGCAAAGAGCAGTAAAAGAGAAATTAAGGAAAAACTGTAAAGTGTACAGGCTGGCAGGGAAACTAGACTACACAGGATACTTAAAAATGCAGATACTGCACTCTGGCTTTGGACGAAAAATCGAAATAAAAATCAATCTACAGTTTAATACATTTAATTATGTGATTTAAAAGCAACATAAACTCACCAAATTGTGTGAATTCACTAGAGTAAGAAGCTGAGATGGCAGTTACTGACACTCTGCTGAGCTAGGCTAGTTACCTCAAACTAGCTTAGATTAGCTGTGGCGACTGCCTCATGTAGTTATGTTGTTTAACAAACTGATTAACCAAAAAATTTGTTCAAAACTATTTTTAGTTTGAGATGAAGCGGGCTAGGTAAATTTACCTTTAGCTAAAGCTAGCCGGTGAAAGAGCAACATACAGCTATCTTGCTTTAGCTATCAAGTTAGCCGAATCTTTATGACAGAAAGTAAAACAAAAGACTTTGTGTACTGTGGTTTGGTTTTTAGCTCCGTTTTGTCTCCATTGAATACTTGACATGGTGCTTTGATAAATGTTATGCATTTTAATGGGATGGTGTTTTTTCTCTTACATCTATAAAATCAGAAATTCATATCGGCTACTAATTTGCAACAGCAAATGAGCGTGTTTTTGTTGCCTAAACCTAACTAAACACAAGAGGGACTTGCAAACACCGGTCTCCAGTTTCAAAGTGCATTTTGTCTTGGTAACCCTGAAATTAGTGATGGTGAACCAAATGTACTTACTAGGACTGTAATGTGACAGGTCATACTGAACCACTGTACCATATGATTTAACAGTATACCATGTGCCTATTTCTATAAAGGCATCACTCCGCAGCATACCATGGGATGTTAGTGATTGTTTGCAGAAAGGAAGAGTGCTCTGGCTTTGCAACAGTACAGTAGAGGTACAGATCAGATAAGTAATTGAATCCCTATTCAGTGCAATGAAGAGACTGAGTGGTTGGCAGTGAAGCTTGAAGCTGTCATTGAGAGCTAGGTCTAAAACAGACAGCAGTTCACTCTCTATTCATTTAGTATCATTACAGGCCTCCTAAGAGCCCTAATGGGCCTAATAAAAAGACAGAGGTAATAATGAGACTAGAGGGCCCTGTGTGAGCCGTAGGAGTAGGAGGGGGAGAGCCAGGGGAGCAAGAGAACAAGGAAGCCAGAGAGTGTGTGTGTGAAAGATATAATAGTAGTAAGAGTCTGTGCGTGTGTGTGAGTGGCAGAGAAAAAGAGAGTAAAGAGGAAGAAAGCGATGCTGAACTGACTGGACATTAAATACCAGAGGGCGCTGAATGCTGTTGCCTGGAATATAAATCTACACATGTTGTGTGCACTTAAATGTCTGTGTGTGCGGGTGTGTGTGTGTCAACAGCTGCACAAAAGAGTGGCCACCTCTGACCACATTACAACCGTTTCTGCTGTTTCCATCTTCATGACAATCAATGGCAGCCTGGCGATGAGTTACAGCCTTCCTCTCCAACATGTTTAACTTGGGCTTCTGCTTCAAAACGCAGAGGAAAACCACGTCTCCCAAGAGTTTTTTTTATTGAAGGAAAACTTGTTTTTATTTGTTTTATTTCTAAAGCTTCTAATTTCTATTTGCTTTCCCATTTGGAGCAAACTTGTGCACGTTAAAGTAAGTTGCTGTGAGCCCGACTGTTTGTCACAAATAGTTTAAGTCTTCAAAATGACAACATGTAACATATTCAGCATTGCATGTTGTCTCCCAGGTCTCCACATCTGGATGTTGAAGGACTTTTACATTAATGGAGCGATTTGCAGTAATGACTCTTATTACCTCATCGTTAAGGCCATTTGCGCAGTGGGCTATGAGTGTAATGGTGGGAGTGGACTGTTAAACTGTAGGGACCCCTTTTGTCTTAATCGTTACTTGGTGACACTCTGACCCGGGGGGCCCCGGGTAAAATGTCTCCAGAGTGTCACACATACCCCTTTAATAACTCTGTCAGGTCTGGATTTAGATCTGCATAGCATAGAAGATCAATAGTTACACATAGAAAATGTGACTGAAAAATATGATGGTTGAATTCATTTCTGCATCTCTGCTGCTACTGTATGATTAAAAAGAAGAATTTACGACGTGACATAGCATTATAGTTTATATTATTTTGATAGGTGAATAACCGTGTCAGCCCTTTGGTTCCAGAGTCTTATAATGTGAGGATGTTTTATGTTTATTAGTATACATTTAATATATTTTGGGGTTTTATGCTCTTGGTGGGATAAAACAAGCAGGAAAACGTTATCTTGCACTCTGGGAAATTGTGATGGCCATTTATTTGATTAATGGAGAGCCAAATTAGCAGTTAATTGATAATGAAACTTGCTTGCTGCAGTGCTACATTGCATTCAAAAAATGTTGACTTGGCAACATATGCAATTTTGTATGTCCTATAGTTGATTGGATCAATGGGTTGTATCTGAGTGCAACCTGCGCTCCCTTCAAACAATCTGGAGCCCAAAGTGTCTATTTCAACTGAGAGCGATAAAAAGAAAAGAAGATCTCAGAACATTTTGCACAACAAGTCTAATTTAAGAATTCGTCAACAAAAAATGGGGAAATCCATCAGTATTTCCCAAAATAAATCAATTGTACTGTGTAGTCTCCTTAAGTAAGTAAGAGGATTGCCTTCTTTAAGTCTGGGATTGAAATGGAATACATTGACACAGGGGCGGACCCCCCCCCCCCAGACTCTCCCACCCTACCCAGTCAAATCACAGGTTTCAGCTGCTCTTTATTGATTAGATTTTAGAATATGGGACTAGCTTCTCCCTTAGGTGCAGATGAGTAGCAGATGTTAATTATCCTGTGTGAGCCTGTGTGTATGTGTGTGTGTGTGTGTGGGGGGGATGTTTATGTGTGTGAAACAGTCGGTGAACTACTTCAGTGATCTCATACTGTACCGTTCCAGCAAATTAAAGTACAAATGTGGGTTTACTTTCTTACTTTACCAACAACATATAATCTATGAATCCCCTTTCATGAATAAAATGTCAGTAATTACCACATTTTTTGATTTTTTTACCCAAACAACTCAGATAATCCCAGTTCTATATGCCATAAATGTATTTGTCTATCAATTGAAAAAAAAACGAGAACAACATTTTTCTATTTTGTATTCATCTATTGATTTTTGTCGTAACGCTGGAAAAAACATCGTATAAGTGCTTAAAATGGTTGAATCAAGAAATATAATATGATCCGAAAACGATATCCCAGACAACACAGTCATTCATTAGCAGTCATGTCTCTCTACCTGGGATATGTTTTGCCCAGCCGATGATGACCACCAGTTCGCGGTCGGCCAAGTCGCACAGCGTGGTCAGGGCCTTGATGTCTCCGTCGGGCATGGTGGGGTCAGGCATGGCATAGATCTTCTCTGGCTCCACCACCAACAGATGGGAAACGATCTTCGTCACTGAGAGACGGATGCAGAAATGGAGAGAGAGAGAGAAGAGAGACGTGTTGTGAGACAATTTTAGGCCAAAGCATGTACAGAAAATAATGTTGGCTGGATAATACTGGGGCACAGAAATGACAAAAAAAATAAAATAATAAAAATAAATCTACATAGTGTTAGTCTAGACTCTAGAGGTAGAACCCCCCCCCCAAAAAAACAAACTGTGCGACTCACATGGCTTTTTGGCTGGAGGGGGAATTCCGAGGCCGAGGTAGGCGCTGTTCTCTGCGTCCAACCTCCGTTTGTACTTCTGTCTCCCCCCTCTCACCCGGTCCAGACGCACACCTGCAAAAAACACACACACATGTATAAATGGTAGCTACACCAAAGACATTTTAAAGCCAATTTTATGCAGTTACATCATCTACTTTATCTGAAACTACTTACAATGATAAAAGACTTTTTGCATATATTTTGCCGAGTCATAAATCTCAAGGATCTCTCCTCACAGCAGCCCACTGCTCCTAAATGCTTAGAAAGCAGGGATCAGATTTCATGTATGTACCTGTATGTACTGTATGTGATGCTGGAAATAAGGATTTGTGTGTTTTTACTATCTTATCTTTATTATGAAACTGAGGACTACTTCTGAATTATCATATACAGCTGTGGCCAGAAATGTTTTTCCTAGTTTTAGTATATATTGCTAACTGGAATACCAAACATGTTGAGGCCTTTCACATAATGTAGTAATTTACTCCTGTATAACTAATTATAAATGCATACATTGTAATCAAGTTTCTTTTCCTTTTAAATGAAATAGTTCAATACCTCCCTGTTGCAGATGGAAGACCTAGTTAGTACACAAACGGACATATCGGGGATTATCTTGGAAGCCACCTCAGAGGACACATCAGATGCACCATATGCTGGATTTACACCCTTGTATTAAAAGTTGTTTGAGCATTGAGAGAGAGCAAACAGATTTTACATGGTCAAGCGGAATTGAGTCGTGTGAGATTTCCCAGTGACTCGTATAAATTCCTTTGATTCCCCTGGAAACAAAAGAATCCGATTAGGATGGTCTTTCAATTTCCTGACACCGACTATCCACTAACCTAATTACCCACCGTGCCCAGAGGGAGCTCATTCTTCCCAGCAAACACAGTGAGATCATTTCATGCCTTGCAGATTGAAGCTAAATCGAGAGCCCCTCTCCTAACACAGCTTTCCATTTGTACGCCTTAAAGTAATCAATAAGGCTTGCAAATAGACTTCTTGTTCTTTGAACACATGTGGATGTGGTTTTAATTAGTCAGTTAGGCAGCTAGGAACTGTGTTTGCGACAGATGGAGCTTTAGTCGCTGTTTTCACCATTACTCTTGGTTAAGGTAAATTTAAAATTATAAATTGAGCTTCAGGAAACAGTGCGCATGTACTTCAGATATTAAATCAACTCGATAGCTTCTCTCTATCTAATGACACACATAGGCCTAATAAAGGGATATGCAGTGAGTAAAGGCTTTCACAACAACGAGCTTGTGTGAGGCAGAAACTTATTAAGCAGGTGTATACCTTAAATTCATTACTTGTCAGACTAAGTGACAGCAAATTGTTGCTGCTTTTGTCTCTGACATACTACCATCCTCACATGCATGCACACAGAAGCACACACACCCACACACACACACACACACTGTTTTCCCCGCTGCAGGCTGCAGGGTCATGTGGCTGCGACAAGCGACAAGTGACCAAACAGCCGGAGTTAGAATTCCAAAATCTGCGGGGGCTGTTTGAACTGGAACATCCAACTGGCCCATAATTAATAGACACTGACAAGAATTAAGAGCTCAGCGCTAACCAGTTTCAGTTTACAGCTTAGCGGCGCTGCAAAACGGCAGAGACCCAATGCAGGCGGGCAGACAGAATGACAGAAAGGAAGAAAAAAAAGAGGGTGAGATAATGTTGAAGAACGGGAGGGTCGGGGTATAAGACAGGACAAGCTGCTGTTTTGGGCTGAATGTATCAGTTTTCTGCAAGATCTCTGTTTCTCTTTCTCTCACTTTCCCTTCCGTCTGTCTCTTTTTTCTCTGCCGTTCAGCATCGGGTGTACATCTCCCTCCCTGACAGATATGCTTGTCCCAGCCAGCGCCTGATCCAACCAGTGCGGGATTATCTCCTCCCCATGTGATACGGCACAGTACTGAGAATCTGACCACAACAAGACAGCTGGATGAGGCCCCGCGTAGAGGGGCCGTGGAGGAGGGTGGTTGTGTCATCGTCAGCACCACATTCCACACCTCAGGCCCAAAACCACAGCAGCCTCCATGCTCCAAGAAGATCAGGAGAGGTCGTGTCTCTGTAGTGTGAGACATGGGGGGGGGGGGGGGGGGGGGGGGGCGACAGATCATCTTGAAAGCATCAAGATTTTTTTTTTTTTTATTTTTTACGATTGCTGACCTTTTAAAAAGTGTGGCAGCCAAAGTATGGATGCAGGGGTGAGGAATGGGAGGTGGTAGAAGTGTTGTGTGCTGAATGTTATGAGCTCGGTAAGATCATACAGTACAGTACAGACGATATAACAGACGACCTGAGACACAAAGATACTGGGTGACAGTCCATCCTTGCGCAACGTGTTTGTGTGTGTGTGTGTGTGTACATTTGTGTTGAAAGACGATGAGGCATGTTTGCATAGGAGCAATTTTTACGGCCACCTGACCCCGGCTTCGCCTTTCACATTCAATATCTTTATTGACTTGTGCAACCTTAAAGCACATTCCCGATTGAAGTGGCTGTGTTTTCCTTTATGTGGCGGCCGCTGTGTGTATGTATGTGTCATGCGGATTCATTTCATTTTTTTAATGTGTTTATCATTTATTTGGATCCCTATTCTTTCCAACAACATAGTTTCCATTCCTACTTTTATGTCCATATAAAAAAAAAAGAAGCATACAGTCAGGTTTGCAGCCAGGATTTCAGGTATAATTAATTCCGACACAAACAGCAGAAATAAAGTCACTAAATTGTTGTAACTGCTTGGACTTGTCACATTTATTTATTCAGTTAACTGTAATTACACTTCCTGTAAATCTCATTAAAGTGCACCTTCTCCAGCTGCCAGGAACAAAATTCTTGTAGGGAAATAATTAATCATTAAAAAAAAAAAAATGTTGGTTGTTATAGCAGGATTAAATATATTGGAATTACACTACGAAATACCCACCATGGTAAGGTTTTGTTTAAATTATAGCATGTAACTCCGCACTGTTGTTAAAACCCTAAAATTTCCACTGAAATAAATGACTTGGCATGACTTCTGTGACCTCAATGGCTACAAGCCTGCACACTGTAAAAATACAGAACAGATTAAACGTAAACTAAGTTGTAAGAACTATGATTAATAAATAATGCATCAAATAATAATAAATAAATAATAAATAATACAAATAATAAAAAGAGTACCGATCAAAAAGTATCACAAAAAGATTAACTCGTACGATGCAGAAGAAGCTCTACAGCAAACAGATTTCATCACACAAAAGTGCACGTGGCTCATACAGTGTGTATCAAGCCAGTGTACTATATGTTACAATATGAACATGTGCTCGCGCGTGTGTATGTATCTCACGCAACTATTTTCAGCCGCTCACCTGTCAGAGGCGCTTCTTTCTAGAGAATGTGTCAGAATTGGCTGGCTGGCTAACGCTGCCAAAGGGAGATTAGGAGGTCCCTATTTTAGCTGGGAAAAATCAGAGGGATGCAGCGTGCGCCCCCTCCTCCACAGTCGCTCACCCTTTAAAAAGGCGCAGGGACCTTGCCCTTCCAGAGCTACTTCTGAGGGCCGAGCCTGCGAGCCCGCAAAGAGCTAAAGACACCGGACAGCTTTTGTTTGATTGCAGAAGGAGAGGGAGGGCAGAGGGAAATGGGTGTGGGACGAGGGGAGAAGGAGGGGGAGGGGGGGGGGTGTATCAGGATGGCGTCCCACCTGCTCTAACCCCCAACGGGCTCACAAGACAAAGCAGGAGTTGTTCCCCCATAACCGCACACACTGGCATGGCTCTCTTTATCATGTTTTACACTTTTCATAAATCTGAGCCGGCATGTCGCGAGGGGTATTACTGTGCATTACAGAACCTCGCTGACCACAAATGATGGCCGGGTCGATTCAGGATCCCTGGTGTGCTTGTGTAGCAGGTGTTCCCACAAATTGTTGCATGTTGGAGTGAATGAAGAGAAAAAGACAGTGAGAGCAGAGTGCCAGCGGGAGACATGGACCTCAAGGTCCAAGCCCATGTCACTTGTCAGGGTTTGTGATATACATTCCGTACTTGAATGTGTGTGCTAAACATCAAGTGGCAAGGGGGCATTCCGTCTTTAAAGTTTAACTGCCTTGTATCCACAGACGATGAGCAATACACGCAAAATTTAATCAGTTTTTTTTAACCTAAGTTGTTCAAATGTATCGCCTAAGACATCGAAGGCCCCCATACAGTATAGACCTTTGCTATATCTTTATTTTGATGATGTAATCTTAGTGTATGGATTGGTTTCTGATCTAAGCCTATTGATTGGAAAGGGACCTGACAGTCTGTGATATTGGATATGGCTCTACTAATCTTTTGTGTATGTGGCTGGAGGAAAATAAGGCTGTAACGTTATCCCGGTAGCCACGTTCGCTCAGGAAAGACTGCTGATCCCTATCTGTGGTCGGGAGAGGGCGAGACAGTGGTGTAGGTTGCCAAAATAGCCTGGCAGCTTGTATTTATTCACCACATTACAGCGGTGTCAGAAAATCCCCACAAGCAAAGAATACACCGCAGAAACACTGAGCTAACACTAAAACCGACGAGCATGGACTTCAGAAGAGGAAGAGCTTAAGTGTCTTTTATTGAAATCGTAAAAATATTCTGTCATGACATAAACTCAGTCGGCCTACAGGGGTTGTACACTTCTTTTTCAATAGGACCTATTTTTTTTTAAAGAATTTGTTTCAGCACTAAAACTACAAAAAGCTAAAATCTTCCATCTCCAGCAGAAAATACCAGGACCGACTCACCGAAAAACGCTATTTCAGTCCAGAAAATTCTTGCATCATTTAACAGCAAACAGTAATGCTATTGGGTCATTAGCGCTGCTATTAGCTGCGGGCACTGACTCCTGGCAGTCGTGACTGACACCATACCTTCCGCGGGTTGTAATTATGTGAGAATTTTTCCATTGGACGTGTGACCTTTTATCAGCCTCAGCTGGACATTTAAGGGGTCAGTGCACGAGGCTGGTTTTCTCAAACGGACGTTACCTTCCACCCAAGCTCATCCAGGCGCTCTGCTGAGGCGCAGCAGTAAAGCCGGATCTGCAAAGAAGTCTGTCATCTACAAGAGATTTTCCTCTCAGACACAAGATGTGAAATTCATTTCTTGTCACACAAAATTGGTCACTCAAATCCAAACTGGCGTAACACAGAAAACACACGAGACTATCAAGCAGATACGACGTCTATCACTTTAATTTACCGACTCATTTTGCTTCCCTTACACCTTGCTCAAGTGTGTTGAGCTGCTACTTCAGCACAGTCGAGGTGTTTGGGCCGACACCGGACTCTAAAACGCACCTGAAGCCACCGAACAGGGCTTGAGAGCTGAAGTCGGCTGATTAGCGGCAGGTGTTACGGGGAGGGGCTCCCCCTGTCTGCCAATGGTGCTGGTCTATAACTGTAGCAGCTGGCACTTTATAATTCAAGATGGCATGCTTAGAGCGGAGCTTAGAGGGTCCTGGTGGAAATATTAGACACTTTTAGAACGACTGATCTCATAAGTTCTCTCAACATCTTCTGCAGAGCGAAGCCTTTCTCGGGATACCGCTGCACTGAAACGAGTAAAACTTTGTGATGTTGTGAGCAAGGGAATTTTGTAATACGAGCGATAAGCATTCACGAGGAAATAACTCGAAAATGTTTGTGTTTTAGTCTATACATGTATGCTAATAGCTGTAGAATCTCAAAATAGAAAAAGAGGTTTACAATGAAACATGTGGTGATAAGTTTCCTTCTCACATGACGCCTGCATTCATATTACACTATGTGATTATTCCTTTTCCATGACCAGCCCTTGGCCACTTGTTACATGGTGATCTCATTACATGAAGTAGGGCAAGCCGCTGTCCCCCACTGATTCCATGATCAAAGCCCCCCCACGTCTGTAAGAGGCCACGCCACGGCACTATGCCACCATTAAATGTCCTTTTTCCTTTTAATTGAATGCCATCACTTTCAGAGAATCACCTACTGTGCTGCTTGTCGCGGTGGCTGTGATGCCGTGTCTCAGGAGCAGCAGGCGGTGGAGGCTACAGATTCCCCCTCTCACACACAAACACACGCACACACACACGGACACACACACTCACTGTCCACATCAACGGCTTAGCTCGGCCCGCCACAGACGACACCCTACCGTTTTTCCGCTAAGCATGCGCTAATAGTTTCAGCTTTATTTCTGAAGCAACTTTGTTTTTTCTGGCTGAGAGTCAAAGCCTCGGTGTTAGATATTTGGGCCGGGATGAAGACATCAAGAGTGGACGCATTTATAAATAGTGTGTGTTACAATATGCAATGGCAATACAATGGACGACCCTTCATTCTGAGATGAAGAGACACAGCTACGTCAGTACACAGTGAAGTTGTATTAGTGGAAGTAAACCAAGAGCCTGACATACAATCTTGTGTTACCGCCACAGATTGCAGTTAACTGCTGCTGCCTTCTATTATGAGTTGTGTTTGGTGCTGGCAGAACACAACGGAACTGCTTGGCCATGGTTTATTTTAGGACATTTACGAATGTTGTGTGTCTAAGTTCAGTCTATAAACAAATTCTTAAAAAAATAGTTGGTAGAGACTTGGTACTTGGGAGATACATGTCATACAATCAGTGCGGATGGCAGAGGGCTAAACTTAAATCAGTCTTCAAACTGGGTTACAGCAATATATTTAATGGAGTCTAATGCTCATGTCCAATTGAATAAGTATTAAAAACACAGACATTACTATGGAACCATCATTTGTCAATTAAACTCTGGACTCAGTGTTGGTTTGGTGGATCAAAAGCAAGACTCTGTGGCCGCCCTTCAGAAAAAACTCGAGATAATCACGTCCCCCAATGCAGAAGTTCTTCATAAAGAGCGTCTCTATGGTTTTTAAGCATATTTATGGACGTTTATTATTCGCGGTTAAGATCTAGGATGTTATCCTCGGAGAATGTACGAACCATGAATTAGAAAATGTGTGTTTTATCTCTGTGTGTTCTGTTTTAACTGAGTTATGACTTTGGGAAGGAGTCTACATTTTGATGTTAATGGCAGCAATTGGGGGCGCTAAGAATTTCTAATAATCTCAACCACTTTCACGAGTTGTGTGTCAAAGCCACTTCTCCACTGCTGACAATCAAACTATAATAACTTACTTCCTGTTGTTTTCAGACTACCTGCATTTACCCGTCCCTATGTTTTATTTGCAGATTTTCATCAAAGGAAAGGTCAGACAGAGAAAAAGAGAATAGAAATCAAACACATGCAGGTGAGGTAAAAACAACTTAAAATAAATTATAAATTAATATGCATATATTTTACATGCCTAAATCTAATTTACAAATTAGGCTGCTACACAACGGCATAAAAGGCTAAATCAATATAAGTCAATATAAAATTATTTTGACATCAAAGCACTTTTTGAGTCTCATATCGACAAAGACAGAGAAACTAAAACTGGAGGAAAGAAATACAATTTAATAAAATTAATTGAAAATCAACAAATAACACATAATGCTCCTTTGTCTTTATTCGGCACCTTCACTAGTGTTTGAGAGTTGCCACAATAAAGACTTCTGCATTAAATAATGTATCCATTAAACTTATTTTGGTTCATAAAATGTCTAAATGTTAAAGTTGCTCTGTAACAGTGATGCAGAGCACAAATCCAACATGGTGAATGAAAAAGCATTTTATCTATCTTTGATTTCTAAATAATGGTTTCCCCAGCTGAACCTCTGTTTCAGTCAAAGTTTCTTTACAAATCTTTGGATACAAAGAAAATGTAAAAAAAGTTAAACTTCAGTACAATGACCTTCATTTGTGTAGTTACTTAACCACATTACAATGTGTGGGGGGCTTGTATTTAATATATTTGGGTCATATTTTCATGACATTAAGCCTTTTTGAGGTCAAACTGAATAGAAATCTGTCCAAAAAAGTTCAAATCCAGGACTCTGTATTGTAATACTCTTAACAAAAGCATAACTAAGAGCTAGATTCTATGCATCAGTGTGGAATATGTCTTCTAGCTAAACACACAAATGTAAAAAAAAAACAAACAAACAAAAGAAACCTCTTTTCATTGAAAGAAAAAGAAAAATCTATCGGCTAGATTTCCCCTCTGTACTCCCAAAGGTCTCTCTCTGGAGGAGAAACAACACATGCAGGAAGTGAGGTGGGATGTTCGGAAAGCATTTAGTGGATCAATATAGTCCAAGCGAGAGAGGGGAAGGGAGGCAGACAGACAGAGAGGGAGAGAGAGGTTGAGGGAGAGTGACACCCAGAGCCCAGGGGAGAAGGAGAGTCTTTTGGGAACAGCCTGTGCGTTTCAAGAGTACTGTTACACTTCTCAGTCAGTCTTGGTAAGAACATCCAACTCAGCAGCTTTTTCCACCCGACTGTTTAAGAGCGAGAGGCTCGTCGGTGTGAGGGGAGGTAAGTAAGGCTCGTGGGTCACTGGTGTCTCCCGGAGACCACAGACATCTTTAATATCTGATCACTGAGCCTTCTTCTAGCCTCCAGTGAGATGGTTAGACAATATTAGATTCACTGGCACGAGACAACTGCTTATCTTCAATTTTTTTTTACATTTGATTTCTTCATTCCAATCAACAGTATAATGCTTGTTTGATTGATATGATGTAAGAGAGAAAAGCAAGAATACTTTACATTTGAGAAGCTGTAAATAGACATTTTTTGTCACTTCTTGATATTTGGCCTAAACGTCGTAAGTTGTCTGTTGCGTGCCACTGCATTTCCGTTGATCGATGAATCAATTATGTTTCAGACCTCTCTATCTCTTAAATCATATCTGAAGCGGAATTAAGTAAAAAGAAAAACACAAAAAAAACTAAAATGTCCAGGAAAGATAATCAGTACTCACCTTCTTTCAACATGCCAACTTTAAGACATTTCATGAAGCGGCAGGCCTGGCACGACTTGCGTCTTCTTTTGGTGATCTCGCATTCATTTGTGGCCGGACAGCTGTACTCAATATTCCCTGCAGAAGGTTAGAAAAACATGGCGTCATTAATTTAGTCATTCCCTCTGTGAGCACAAAAAGTGCACTTCAGCAATTAGGAGGAGTTGTAGGACAGATTTTTGGGATAGAAAAGAAGAACCAAATCAGACACAGAAACACACACACACACACACACACACACACACCTGTCCCAAGGTGACCCCGTGTGACACTCCTGAAGGGGAGGAGTGTTTAGTGGCATTTTGATGGGACATGTAAAAAGCACCTACCCGCCCCAGAGTCCCACCCCCATTTTGATTCTCAGATAAATTAGCTTCATTAATGCAGAGCATCCTCTCTGCAGCGCTCGCCACGACCCCTTTCTAGCCCATCCTTCTTCACCGAAAGCATGATGGGAAGGCTGCCCTCCCACAAGGGCTAAGAGATGGACGCACAGCCGAGCGCTCTGCATAATGCTCTCCGGCAAAGACTAAGACTGGCTGTTAAGACTCGCCAATCTGAGGATCCCATATCGTGTGGCAAAGCTCGATGTATTATTCAGCTCCGTCTTGACATTTGTTGGCTCACTATGGAAATATTTTCTATGCAATTTAATCACTCGGGTCCACAAAAAGCCAGAAATGCAGACGTATTGAATCTGCTGCCTGTTTTTCTCACCAGGTTCCGGTTAACAGTTTTTTTTTTCCGGGATCATTACGTGGTCACTTCAAAAGTGGACGTGACCCCCAAGAATCCAATGACACATTCTCTTTCCCAAGTGTCCAAATCCCTTGATTGAGTGTTTAAACAATGCCCCCAAAGACCAGAGCTGTATTAATGGTACCTAAAAACAGCAAACCAGGTGTTATCTGTAGCAGTTCTGCCAGAGCTGCCCTCCCCCAACAACACACACACACACATACACACACACACACACACACATACACAATCCCCTGTTGGTCAAAGAGAAGGTGCCAACATTTGTCAGGATCCCTGGCATCGATGGTGCCAGCGGGGTCACATGCACAGTGAGGGGCCGGGGCACAATGCCAGGATGTTGGCGGAGGCTGCTGCTGGTTTCAGGGTGGGTTAAGTCTTTTACACTGAATACAGTAGAGTGCAGTGCTCATGTGTAGAGACACATGCTGTGTACCATATCTATACTACAAACTCATTTTATACAACATGTACTCTATACTAATTACCATATTGTACAGTTTGTGTGTGCAGTTAACATACATGACATAACATAATGTAGTACTATAACTAATTCTAAACACGGATCTCAGAGTGACTAAATGTAAATTAAGTACACAAAAAAGTATGCGTACTCAAAGAATGCTTGTTTTTCGAAAGATTTAATTCTTCATTTTTGTTTTTAATATTTAGTAGTGTACATTAACATTAAGGACGTGTCCTGAATCGCTCCCTATTTAAAGTATAGTGAGCTATCTAATGTCTGCCGTTTTTTTAAAATTCTGAGTGTAAAAATGTTCCACAAAGGAATGGAAAGAGTCCATTATTAAAGGAAACATTTTATACCTGAATGGATCAAAAATAACCTTTGTGTGTGTCCATGATTATGTGTGTATGTGAGGGGACGGGGGGTTGGGTTGCATTAGGGTTCCACATTAGTCTTAAAATTGCCTACCTCTAAAAGCTCACTGTCGGCATACCCTCTTAGTTAATCAGGTCTTGTGTCCACCTTTATTTCTCAAAGGACATTTCAGCCACTCTAATATCCTTCCTTAACCTCTCTTATTTTCTCTCTAAATTTTGATATATTATTATGCCATGCTATTATCCACGCACTCATCTCCACTCAAGCTGGACCTCTCCTTGTCCTCCTCCTTTACCGGGGCCGGGACCCCCCTTCCTGATTACCATTCCATTAAAGCGGCTTCTCCTTTCAGTGAGTGACCACGTCCCCTGTCCCTTGTCCCTCTGCATTTTATTTGGAGGACTCCTCAGCATAGCTCTCCTCTCTCCCCTTCCTCTGTTATTGCCCCGCTAACACGTGCCTGAGCTTCTAATTGGCCCCCCCATCTCCTCCCCCTTGGGTGTGGGCTGTAGGGGCCCGAGGGCAAAGAACAACAACTCCTCTCTAGACTTTCTCCCGATGAAATGCCTGATTCTTAATTACAGTCACCCAACACTGATTGTTATTGACTGAAACTCCCGCGGCTCAGGACGAATGACGGACAGATTAGGTTCATTACGGGTCTGTCCTCCACGAAGGAGAGCGAGAGGAAGAAGAAGAACACAAAGTCACGCATTAACACTATTTAGAGTCCTTCGCTTTGTTGTTGGTCAGACTGACACATGCAGACTTTAAATGACCAGATAAAGCTAAAATGTAAGACTATTTAAAAAAGTTAGGTTGAAGCAATTCATTGCATTTTATACAAACGTTCTGAATGGCATTTGTAAGTTTGTCCCACTTCAAACAGTCCATCGCTGGTTTGTATCTGCAGCATCCTTCTTAAGTTCATTTTGCAACATGTTCAACTAGTAAACAGGTAGCATAAATCCACCAGAAGACAGTGCTTGGCTTTAAGATAATATTGGTGTTGTTGTTGTTGTTGTATGCTGTCGATTTGTCAAGCTTTCACAAGCGTCCATCTAGCCGCAACATTTTCGTTGTCTCCACTTTTCTTAGCGATTGCTTATTTTGTCTGTCAATACAGCCGATCACACATCGTGTTGTGATCACTGACATTTATTTCTGTTTCTGCAAAACAGGAGCATCAGCGGTGCAGCCTGGGTAAAAAGACTTGGATAAATATTATCACTGTCAATGAAGTCACTATTATATTCTTATATAACACCTGTAAAATGTGTTTGGCTACAGTAAAACCACGTAAAGTAACAGGCTATATGATTTATAAATCAGCCTCATTCCTTAACAGGTGTTGGCAGTAATGCACTATTATGTTTTATAAAGAGAGCAACGCACAAGATGTTAAAGTGTTTTTTATTGCCTCTGTAATTCAGAAAAGTGTTTGGACAGATCAAATTTACCTCCTAAATGTGGCCAAGGCCTCACTCGCCTGCTGCCCAGCTCCATGTCTACGGACAAAAAATCCTGCAGATAAAATTTTAAATTCTGCGTCTCAGTTTGCAGCACATTATCTCTGTCCAAGTGATTATTCTGGAACGGCTCCCACACATGGCAGAGTCAACGCCAGATGTACGATTCACATGCAAACGCATAAAAAAAAAAAAAAAAATCACAACCCGGAGCAGATTTACAGTCTGGGCCTAATGCCTGCTGTAGACGCTCGTAATCACTACCTCGTATTAGTCCCATAAGAGCAGACGGTTGGATAGCAGCACTGAGGAACACGTCAATATGTTTTCCTGGCAGTCCCAATTGTCATGGTAAAGCTAATAAAAAGAATTTAGAATCATCGTGAAAAAAGAGCACACAGGTGTTATAACACATCTGGGTTAAAGGCCTAACACTTCCTTTGTCATAATATTCAACCACCTGGGAAATTACAGAAAATATGATTATTCCGCAGGTTTAACTGGGAGCATGCAGGCATTGGAGATGAGCTCCGGTGAGCCAGTGAAAGTTGTAAGAAGAAGTGGGAAATACCTTGTATCGTCCTTTTGAAAAAGGCTTTGCAGGCCTCGCAGGACGCCACCCCATAGTGGTACCCTGAGCCAATGTCACCACACACCAGGCACAGCCTCTTGGGAATGGCATTGAGCATGTACTCGCACTTGATCGGCGAGTCGTCTGCCACGACGCCGGAGCACTCCTCGTAGCGGCGTAGGCAGGCGGCGCCGCCTCCGAGCATGCCTGGGTTGAACATCGGCGGGGAGTCCAAGGCGTGCGAGTGTCTGCTGCCGCCGTTAATGTAGCCGCCGCTGGCGTCAGAGTTGCCACTGGGACTGTGGTGACTGCCGGTGTCTACTAGCGAGGAGGATGGACTGGAAGGCTCGGTTTTGACATAAGAACCACAGCTGGAGGATAGGTGTCGGTCCTCAGTGGGCATTCTGGTTAGCAACCTGGATGAAACACACAGAAGGTGAGAGTCGAGGTCAGTTTACGGAACAGAATTTACAGAAAATACAGTGCCAACTGTGGGGCAACTGAGCCAAATCAGGCCAACGTTCTTGGCTGAATATCTTTGAAAACATCAAATTTATTCTGGAAGGACTCAGTCAGAGAAATTCCCTCATTTTCTTAACTCGCCATGGATCAGCTAATCTTTCAATTAAAGTAAAACAAAAAAAAAACGGGACGAACCGGGCTTTTAAACGACATCAGCGATATGGAAGAGAGCCTGTTTACCTCACATGCAAATCAGCCCTGATTTTCTAGACTGAGACACAAAGAACCTTACATGGAAGTAAATATACATCAGAAAACTGCAGTATCAGTGAAATTACCAGCACTACCAAGTTTGACAAGATGCACAGAGCGTTGCTTTCTTCCATCATCTCCTGATCATTCTGCGAGAGATTCGTCAGCTGTGATGGAGCACGCTGCCCCGTCTGAGTTTGATAGATTATGTTACACGGGCAACCATTTATGTGCTGGAATGCCAAGTGATATACTACAGCAGCTTATTTCTCTCAGGCGAAATGGTAACTAACGACCATATCAACAGATGCCCCATACATCTTGCAAACAATGCCCACAATTGGTCGGCTGCCAGAGGTAAATGAATGAATGAAATTTCAGAAGGCTGTTAATGGACAGAGGTGTTACACTCAGCATATGGAGGATCATGGGTAATACATGACCCAATCAATAGTCCCAGTTAGTTTGCCAAAGGACGGTGCCGGGTTACGGTGGACTTAAGTGAGAAGGTTGGAGAGGCTGAGAAAGAGGCACTGACCTGGGATTAAGTTCCCTGATCCCAAATTTCATTACAAAATTTGGGAAAAGGCAGAGTTACCCAAAATGTTACACAGGACAGTTGTATGGAGAAAAAGTATGAACCATCATTGTTACTGACCCCTATATTGCCTGTTGTGTGTACATGCGTAAAGTCCATTTTATTTATTGTTCATCATTTTGGTTGTGTGGTTTTATTTAATTTATTTAGGATATATTAAGATTTAGTTCACGTTCCAATTCCAATGTCTGAATATAAGGTGTTCTTAGGTTGTACTTGTATTATTATGTTATTATATCAACATTATATCAGCGGCATAAAATGGTGTTAAAATGACAATAATATTGTTTATCGCAATTATTTCTGGGACAAAATGATATATCGTCCAACAGAAGTAGTTATTGTGACAGCCCTACTGCTATTGTTGCGCAATAATTTCTCTTCAGGGCCTCAGTGTGTTATTGCAATTGCAGTAGTTTCAATAACATCCTCTCAAACAAAGCATGAAATGAGGCCTGGATCCGTGTTAGGACCGCTGGCTCTGTCTGTCAGAGCCACACACAACTTGAGCCCTACATGCTTGTGAGCTGTAAATACTGGGCGAGAACAGTGGAAAGCCATGTTAAGAATGTCAGAAACTAACAGCAAGCTAATACTGACCAGATTCCTCTGAACTTGTTGCCTATTTGCTGCCAGGGGCTGACCCGCTTTTTTTCAAATGTGGTATTGTGGTCGGTAATGTATTTTCCCTCTGTGCATAAGTGTTTATATAAAGCCATGAAGTCATCCGGCCCCGACAACATGAAACCTCTCTTTTAACTGCTAACGGGTGAAGGGAGGAGGAGGAGATAGCCTTTACCCCTGGGCCAAGATCAGATCTATTGATCCTCTGCTTCCTTCCTGTTCCAGATGAGGCATGACAAAATAAACCCTCCTCTTACGGGTCCCAGACATTCCTTATGCATTTTTAATCAGTCGGGACTGTTAACATAGTGAGAGATGGAGCGATACATAATGTTAGTCTTCATTCTGAGGCTATTGTGGTTTATAAAAGATTCACGGTGCTCGCGTTAAATCTCGCCAGCAATCAGCATGCACCTATACTCAATTGGAAGGAATATTTTTTTCCCATCTGAGGGAATTGGAGAAAGCGGCGTGGCAACAGTTAATACATCATCGCAGCCAGATAGGGGGATTCCCTATGGAATAGTACATTGTGGCATATGTAAAAAGTAGTTCACTCCCCACTTAGCACACAGTAACGCTGGGGAGATGTTTTTTGTTAAGTTTAATGGAAATTTCTAATGGGTCCTTTCAAATCTGTCGAAATGAAATAATGGCACGAACCACCAATTCGTGCAGACAGAAATAGCTTCATAGTTTCATAATTTGGTTTCTTCTGCTTGTTATAAAAGAGACGTAGAGTTTCTAAGCGCAGCCTGACTCTCCTCAACCCGCCCCACTCCCTTTTGCAACACACACACACACACACACACACTCAAACACGCATTGCACCTAATATCTAATGGGGTAATGTTTGCTCCACCGCGCAGAAAAATGGTACAAACCGAGCAGACAAGCAAGACTCATCAGACAGACGTGAAGGTCACCTGCCTTCTCTGCGCTGCTGTTCTTTGAGGCCCAGACGGTCCCACAATGGATGCCTCGGAGCAGCGCAGACACAGGTTTCAGTGTGTCCAACACACTGAAAGAAAGAGAGTCTAGACAACGCTACGGTGCAAAAACTAGAGCGCTGTCTATAATGTTTAATATGACCGAGGCGCTGCCGAAAGGCTGTACATGCTCAGATCAGTGACCGGTTTCTTTTTGTTTTTATTCTCATTTTGAAATGGAAGTGTGTGAAAAAATCCCACCAGAGCAGCTTAAAATCTCACATGTTTATGTGTGCATGTGTGTATATTTTGGCATGTCTCCACATACTGGCAGTGTTGCAGATTCCCTGCTTCCCTACATGAATCCTGAATCCATCCACCTCTCCTCTAAACCATGAATTATGTTTTACAGCCTTCCGAATCTCTGCACAATACATTTTTTTTTACCAGCAGTCCAAAAAAATAAATAAAACCAATTCACCACAATGACCTCTTGCTATCCTCGGCTCGACGAGTGAAGGGTTAAAAATCCAACTCTCCATATTTTACTATGTATTTTCCCACAGAGGGAAAATATTATTGTGAAGCTTGGCGTTGAGCTTGGAGCAAGGAACACAACGTAAATCATGGTGCTGAACACACAGTCGAACATGGAAGCGCAGAAGAACAGAGGCAAGGAGCCATGCATGAAATTAGTTCATTAATCTTTCTATGATAGGCTGTCCTTGTTTGGGGCAAACTCTATCAGCTTTAAACTGAGTGCCCCTTCCTGTCTGACACATAGATTACACCGCTAGTCCGCAGACGGGGTGTCTGGGAAATGAATGGTCACACGAGCGGGAAAATGGGGTAGCGTGTGTCGCCCAAGTGTTAAGTAGCAACAACAGCATGTGCGTGACATGGCGTCGGCGCAAATGAAGGTCATCAAAAAATGTGTGCGTTCTAAAATTTAAATGCATTTGTGCGCCGCGACGAATAATGTAGTCAGTTTACGGGGAACACGCATTCGTCAAAATATATATTTAAAGCACTTTTTAAGGTTATTTGTTACAATAGAAACAGCCATGTTTATTAAAATCTGCCCGCTGTGCATGTCTTCGTCGTCTTTAGCTGTCGGCTCAAACCTTGCAGGTTCAGATCGTACACGTCTAAATCACAGCCTCTCAGCCATAAACTACAATGTTACATATAAAGTTCTAGTTCCTACCTATCAAGTCTGAATTGTTGCGTCATTAAGTTCTCTTAGGTCTCCTGATCAGTGTCTGGTGCGTTCACTGTCTGCCTCTAAACTGTAGAATAGTTTCATTAGGTTTTTATTAGGCGTCATGTATCTTGTGTTCAAGTATTTGTGCATTAAATGTTTCAGCAAGACAGGGAAAATAAAGTTCAGGCCTGCAAGACTATTTTCATTATTGAAACTGTTTATTTATTAATTTAATTTATTAATGTAAAAGAATAATATTACCACTAAATATTCTAAATTAAAACGCTGAAGCCAGTTGACGTTTGAAATCCTGAAATGATGATCAAAAACGTTACTGATTCATTTGTTTCAGCGCTAATAAATTGAAAGCTGCGGTTTGTGCTCTAATTGTGAAGGACTTTGTCAATTTCCTGCGGTAATTATTCTGAACGCTCTTACTCAGCTAACTGATCACGTTCCACAGCTGAAGAAGGTAAGTGGACCTATTTTCATTTGTTTTGACTGCTGAACAACATTTTTCCTTTCTTACATCTTTACTTCAAAGTTACCACTCCTGAACAAGTTGGTAAGTTCCATTACGTTTGTACTGCATGGCAGATATACTTTGTTTCTGCTTCTCTCTAACACACACACACACACACACACACACACACGCACACGCACACGCACACACACGCACACGCACACACACACACACACACACACACACACACACACACACACACACGCACGCGCACACAGAACTTCCAGCATATGGCCTCTTCAATGTCACTGCCACGAGGAGAGATTGCATAGATTTCCCACATGGATGAAGTCTCCTTACCTGGAGTATCAACCCCCATCTACATACACGTCCAACCACCTCCAGGAAATTGCTCTGCCTGCAAAGTCAAACACACCCCTAACTGCCTTTTAAAGAGAGACAGAAGAAGGAGGCTATGGGGGAGAAAGAATAAACGAGCAGAGACTTAAGCCGTCATTGGGAATCAGAGGGGGACTCATGAGGGACAGTTACGATATTGATTTCATAAATAAACAGAGATGGCCATCGATCCTAATGTTATTTTGCATTTCAATTACTGCCCAGTAACATAACCTTCAAACGTCTGCTTCTCCACAGTAATAACATCCACTGATAATCACAAGCAAGTCTTGTCCACCGCAAATTGGCTTTTCTCCCCCCCCCCTCTCTTTTTTTTTTCTTTTTCCAAATGTGTAAATGACACAACTTTGCATTTGCCTAATGGTATTAGTGCATGGGCTGAATTTCAAGTGAGACTCAAGCTGATACAGTAAGCGCTCCGGTCAATTGACACAATGCAAATTAACGTGGTGAAGAGGAATTAAGTTCACAATGTGAGACCTCGTGAAGCTACGATGAGGCCCATTAAATTAAACATGCTGGCTGGCCCACACTCCATGATTAGACGCACTGCTTCTTCTCCTTATGTGTGTGTGTGTGTGTGTGTGTTAATTTCATTTGATCAATAAAACAAACTCATTCTAAGAAGTCCTCTCTGCTGCTTACATATAGCCTGAGCACATGAAAGCCACGTCGCGTTTTGATTGAATAGTGGCTGCAAAAAATAAATAAATAAAAGCGTCCATCTACATCCTGATGAATTCAGAGTCCTTGACAGGTTGCCTAAAGGATACATCTATATCCCTATATCAAGAGGGGGTCATGACATGTAATGAAGTTATTTCTCCTTTCATGCCGTCATGCAGAGCTGGGCTGTTCCCTTGCATGCAGCAGCCATCGCCATTAATAAACACGTCAGGCTGAACACTTTTGAATTGTTTTTATCATTGTCATTTTTCGCCTGACCGTCTTCATGAAAACTCAAAGCTGGCGGTAAAAGAGAAGTAGCATTTTCTCCCACAACACCGAACTGTCCCACCACCTGCTCCCTCCATCCGTCAGTAGGCTCTGTTGGCTGATGGGACCAGTAAAAATCGACTGGGGAAGCCAACTATCAAACTTGAAGTTGGGGATTTTAATAATTTTGGGTACAAAAAAACAACTGTGACCGTGTTACTTAATTAAAGTGCAGTGACAGCTGTTTCCATGCAGTGCAGAAAGACGTGCTGGAAGCAGCCAGAGTTGTCCACTCACTAGAGTGATGAAGCAGAATGCAAGACACTGGCCCTCACAAGTAACAGAACAACATTTCCAGTAACGTTACCAAGACTTAAAATTCAGTTTACTATTTCTAGCGTGCTTTTGAAGAACACAGAAGCAGAAATAAGACCCAAATTGATATGATATGATCTCTTCCTGTATATATATATATATATATATATATATCTGTTTCCAAATACTCTCTGAGGCAGACATACTTTGAAATTACCACTAATATAACATTTCAATGTGTTCTTGAGTTTTATATCATACAGTTTCCAATTAAACATCTCAACTTTGGTCCAACACCATAGCTAGAACATATACATATACAATATTCTGTTGTAATTTAATTGAGCTAAACTTTTTCGATACTACATATTAAAAACAATTTAATGTTTACTGTGCCTCTCGTTTGTTAAGAAAAACTGAGTTTGTTATATATTAAATATCAACTTTCTAATCTCTTCCTTATGAAGCGGAACTATGCGGTCATGTTAAGAATGTTGACAAAAGATGATCTATTTATTTTGTTTTACATATTAATGACACTGACTAACGGAAAAGTTACATTATAAACAAAACATGGCCATGTGGAGGACTAGTGTAATACATACAGAGGCAAAGCATAACACGATGCGTTTCTCCTAACAGACACAGTCAGGTGTTTCCATGGTATGGCACGGCTAAAATTAGATCCCAGGTCAGTGAGCGATTCTTTGGTCTCATCCGTACATGTATATATGCGCGCGCACATGTGTGTATGCGTGTGCATACATTTGATTGCTTGTGCTTATGTATTCCTGTTGGTTTGTTTGTGAAGGGCACCCATGTAAACAGCAGGTAGAAAGAGATTGAAATGGATCTAAATGTATTTCAGCAAACTGAATAGAAACAGCATTTAAACTTGAAGTGTAAACGATGCAGTTGTCAAAAACTGCCATGGCTAATCATGCTGAAACCAACCACGGCTAATCACAGAGACGTAATGAGGCTGGCCATTTTAACATCAACAATTACCTTTTTAAACATTTAAAGAATAGGAAAATAATGTGTTTTTGTTTCCTCATGAAGATATAGAATTGTGTACAAAAGTGTCTATGAAAAGAAGTGTCTACCACAGAAAAACTATTTATAAGGATTTTGTCTCTCTCGTGTCATCTGTCTGAAAAAGTGGAGACTAACTGAAATGTCAGATTTGAAAAATAGATTAATTAATATTAAAGTTTACTGGACTCTGGTCCAGTTTGTGTTCTTTAATCCATACTTACTGTAGAGCTGCAGGTTATTTGGATTTTGGTTGCACACAAATTCGCTAAAAATGTGGTTCAACAAACAACAAAACGGACCTCATGTGTATATTTTATAAAGATTAAATTATAAATTCCGCACACACATAGCATATTTACATGTTATTTTATCTAAAGGCCAGAACATTGAAGCGAAAGAGGCAGACCAGTTGGTTCATTTGAGCGTATTTACATTTACTATATGTACAAAAACATTTATCAATTATTTATTTTAATTTTTTAGAGACACTGTGAAATAAAACATCTCTGAACAAAGGTACTTATAATCTATACAGATATAATATAAGTGTATATAGATTGATTAAATATTTCTATAATATGAGAACTGACAAGTTATAATGTTAGTTTGCTGAGGAGGCTGATACGTTTTTCTACCAACAGAGACCTTGCGGGACAGTTGGACACATCAGTCTTGGGACCTCTCACCTCTGGCCAGAGGGTTGGTCGTCAGTCCTCAAGTGATTATTAATAGCATGCCCTGAAGCCAGACCTTACTAAGCACCGCTTTATGTGACACTAAAAGCCCAGATTTACTGTGTGCAAATACATGAGCAACTACAATTACATGCAATATGGTTAACAATGCTTAGAGGTAAAGACACATTTCAGGGTTAATTTACTGTATATTACAGCTTCTGTCACGATAAAGAGAGTTTCCAGCAGTTTATGGTGATAGCAGGTAGTTTTATTTAAAGGTTCTCTCATAGTCTGATCTCCTTAAATACACCATAATCAACATAGCATGTTAAACTAAGTCTCTTAGAACACGCAGCATTACTCAAAGGGAGATGTACCAAATGTGACCCAACATTCCTGCAGTTTTCAGAGGGGGCGATCTGAGAGCACATATATGTGTACGTGCATGCACATACGTGACCAGCTCCTGATTCGCCAAATCACACATATTTATGTGTGCGTCCATAAATGCAGTGTAAACATGCAAGTGTAAGCAAACATAAAGTCCCACAAACACAGCAGGAAACACACACACACACACACACACACACACACACACACACACACACACACTTGGCCCAGGGTCACTTTAGGTTTAAGCATCATATTGTGCCTTTTGTTTTGTTTTTTATTTAAATTCAACTTAAAATGTTTAAACATGAAATTGAAAAAAATGCAATAACAGTTTTAATTGAATTGAAGTGTACTACGTGCAGTTTTATAGATTCTGGAAATTGATGATTGTGCAAAAAATAAGAGCTCAGGGGTTGTGTTTTTTTTTTTTCAAGTGTGCCGCAATCTGCACAGGAATTACAATATTGAATGTCAAGGCTTATAGACGATACATGAAACTGATATATTTAAAAAGATTAACAACAAAGGAAACCCGGATCTGTTACTTTTATGTGAGGTATCAAAACAACGGACACATTCTCAAAACAATGCTGTTTAAACATGACACTCACATGCATTTTCTATCTGTCCTGAGGAATTACTGTCATTAACTTGATTGTAGTAATTCAATTCAATGTATGTACTTCATATGATGTACCTTACATTATGTGTTGAAACACCGTTGAAACAGTTTGAATTGTCAATGTTGTCAATGTCACACTTTATTTTTTACTTGAGTGCCATTTTGGGTGCCAGAGCAAATCTAAAATACAACGTAAAAATCAATGTAAAAATCAACGAGATGCACATTTTAATGTAGATCACTGCAAATGGATGCATGTAAAACCCTTTTAAATAACCAACACCTCTAATAAAATCTGTTACTTTTGAATGCAAAAATATTTTTATAGTTTCTCCTGCTAACCGAATACAGGCTGATGTTATTTCACTTTCATGAGTTTCTGCTTAGCATTGCAGAGCATCTTTCTTTTTTATTTGTTGAGAGTCTTGTGGAGTTTGAAATATTCGTAATCACAGTCCTGTAAAAAGTGCTACGCAGGTTAAACCTTTCCAATCCCATCGACAGCTTAACATTAAGAGGATCCCGGTAAAGGGACTTTGTCCAGTCATATTTGGTCAAGAGAAGAGCGTCTCTCCAGGCATGCAAGGAGTGTAACGAAATACAAAAGGCAGGTGCGCCATTTGAGACGTGAGAGTTTCTTTGACTACTAAAACTAAAACAAGCTGCTAGTCCCCTGCACGTATGAACCAAATGCAAAATGACAATATGCACGTACACTTTAATCTTATTTAAATAGAATTCACTGAATTGTTTTCACATAAACTGCCACTTTGGAAATCCCTCCTATGATTTTTATCATAAGTAGCAAAGTGCAACATCTCCAACAACAGAAAAGTGATCAAAGCTTTAACAAAAACACAAGCAGGCAGTTATCTGCCCCCTCGTGCTCTCCTCTCGAGAACACACTCTCACACAGACTGGGTGACAGTACAGTCACAGTTTTCGTTCCCTGGGACACCGCCGGACACCGGCTGCTGCCAGAGGATATTCGTCTGGATATCGTCCGGATTAATCTGCTTCTGGCTCTTCCCTGTTGCTGAGGTTAAACCCTGGATCCTGATGCAGAGCTAGACAGCTGTAGGGCAACCGTCCGACCTGGACTCCCCGCGGGCTACGCTACCGCAGCCTCACTGACACTACTGAGCTCTGCTGTCCCGTACACGGGGAGCTGAGATAAGGCGAGGAACTCCCTGCTTTTTTTTCAGTTTACTTCATGCATGAGATTTCTTTCACAAATGGTTTAAACACAAATTTTCCTTGTGATCATTTCTGAAGTATATTAAATTATCTCGCCTCATTTGGAAACAACAGCAAAGATGAAAAACAAACAGAGAAGAGGAAAAGATGTGGAAAAAGCTGCACCTACTGGTTGTGGTAGCAAAGAGGGTCAGGGATGCACAGTTCGGAAACATCCATCAGTCCACGTTAAGCATTCCAGGTGTTGCAATAAAAAAAAACAGATAAACAAACAGCTGGAGGAGGAGATCAGTTCCTAAATCTCCACATATCTTGATGAAATGTTGGTCAGGTGTTCCTGGGTGTTGCCTGCCCTCTCTCCCCTGTTCAACACACACACACACACACACACACACACACACACACACACACACACACACACACACACAAAATAAAAAAAAAACCTTCTGCCTCAGCCCGACAAACTCCAGTCTGCACAGGTGCTGCACACTCAGGCTCAGGAGTACGTGTGGAGAGACGGAGAGTGGTGTTGATATAGAGAGGAGGAAAACCTGAAGTACAGATGAAGAGAGGAAACAGGAAGCAAGTGTGTAGAAGAGGAGAAAGAGTAAAGATCAGGTCAGTGATGGGTAGAGAAAGAGAGAATAAAAGACAGACACAGATGGATGGAGAGCAGCAGCGGTGAGAGCGCACTCAGTCTGAGCAAGTCAGTGAGGGGATTGAGTCTCCATTGAACTCACGGGGGCTCTTTAAGAGCAGGAAGGAGTGGTTCGGTGCATATGGAGCCGCTGCCATTGGTCGGCTTCAGGAAGGCTGTCCTGAGAGCAGCCAATGAGGGTGAGAGATTACCGAGATGGGTCGGGCTAATCAACGACCAGTCAGTGTCCAGTCATTCACAAGGGAGCGCTGCAAAACACAGACACAGGCAGAGCCCCCCAGATAGATAGAGATAGATATATAGTGGATATAGATATAGATAGATATAGATAGGGAGATAGATGAGGAGTTTCACAGTAAGTGTTTACAACGGCACAAGTAAACTGTAGTGGACAGTAGTAATTTACAAGCAACAGCAGTAGCAGCAGTATTCACTGGAGGCAATTTAAACAGGTCTGTTTACTGTGCTTTAAAAGGCTCAGTGCCAGCTTATAGAGCTAAACTGTTCTCTTTACTCCTTTATCCTCTCCACCGTGGATCTGGCTTTCCACAGCATACCCTCCTTTGAAGTAATGGCAGCTGCTTCCCACAGCATTTCACCAATCACTGTGAAGAGACGGAGTCTACCAATAACCAAAGAGACAGGATGTAGGAAACCGAGAGTGATAATGACCTCGGCAGGAACGATAATAACGATGACGACGACAGACAAGTTTGAGTGGATCTTTACCACGTCTGTGTAATGTGGCAGCCATCAGGGGAAACTCAAAGCCCCCCCCCTCCCCTCCTCATCCAACCCACTTCATCAACCCACATTTTCCTGATCGATACAAAACCCATCACACGCTCTTATTGATCACAGCGTTGCTGTGTCGCCAGAAGCTTCGGGACAGACTCTGTTTCCCAAACAAAAAAAAAAGGATTCATAAATTTGGACGTTTTCTTTTCATGTCAGTCCATATCAAAGTCACTGGAGCGAGGGCTGATTGCTCGAATGAAGGAGCTGTGCATTCTCAATTAAATTCCTGATCAATACTTTGGTATTTAATGCACTTTCCTGCAGCGCAAAAACCAGGATATTCCCGCTGATCTGATTAAGACATCCAGACATAATCAATAGAGGAGATAGGTTTATGTTTTTAATGAGGCAGAGAGAGAGAAGACAGAAAAGGAACGACGCTGATGTTAAGATGACATGTGTGATGACTTCACATTAAGGTTGAACACTGTGGGAAGAAGTTAACGAGACGAAAATAGAATTATCATAAGGACATTCTCATCCATCAGTGTAGTTTTATTTCAGTCTGTTAATTAAAAGAATCACTACACTCTTGTGTGTTTGTGTTGCCACTTTTCTGAGGTGGGCCATATTGTAAGTCCAAGGCTCATCCGTCTCCCTCCCTCTCAGCCAGCTTACACAGCGAGGGGACACCAGGGCTTCATGGCATCTGACAGGAAATCTATCGAGCGCACATTCGGTAATCCCACTATCACGCTATCGCCAAATGAAGAAGCAGTAATCCAATCATTAGGTCTGTATTTAAGCAAAACAGATTTTCAGCTCTACGACCACGAGTGTGTCTCTTTAAAGCAGATCACAGCAAGTCTTGGATCAAAACACTGTGCAGGCAGCAGTTTGTGTTTTCATAATAGTTTTGCTCTCATTTGCTGTTTGTCACTCTCACAGTGATGTATTCCTCATCTCCACTGCCTCTGAATGCTGGAAAAATGGAATTGGGTTTATTTTTGGAGAGACATTTAGGCTTATGTATAGTATGCACAATTGTGTGTGTAGAACACTTATAACCTGAACAAAACGCCTCTAAAAGCAGATCACAAACGCTGACATTTAACCGTCTGTGCGCAAACCAGCAGCTTGTTTCTGAAAAGTGAAAAAGAACCAATCTAAAAACTAAAAACTATTTATCTGTCAATAAATAGTAATTACATATCGTGGTGAGTTGAGGGACACGATCTCCCCGTCACACTCTCTGCATGTAATTAAATTCATGATTCATGAGCAAACTGGTCTTTCATGTCCGACCTTCTGACCTCTCCAAACAGACAGTGTACCATGTGGCTCAACAGGAAGCCCACCGTCCTAACTGGTGCTGTGGATATAACTTGCGACAAATGCTGCGTGGCAACTTTTAACAACAAGAAACCGATGAAATAATTGAGTGAATGACATGAATGCTAACAGAAAACAGTTAAAGTAGCTTCCTTACAAAGAATTATTACGTGGGTTGTAAAGCTGTGTACTCAAATGGCTGCCACCTCACTGCTTTAAATGAGCTCGTCACACGGCCTTACACTGCTCTATATCACATTACTGACACAAAGAAAAGAATAAAACGGCAACTATACAAGCTAAAACGTAATTTACCTTAAAATATACTTAGTCAATGACGTGTTTCTTTTAAAACTATGAGTTATAGAATTAAACGTTTTTTATTTGAACGGTAGAAAGTCGATGAAATGTTCTGACAAACAAACTACGTTTCCATTCAAATTAGAAATGTTCTGCTGTACAGCTGGAGATTCAAATGGATCACATCTCTCATCTTGTGAAAGGCCACAAACAGAAATATGACAAACATTGGCTTGGGATAGTCACGTGTAGTTCTGTTATTTTACCAACAATCTATTCATACTGAGGAAACTAGAGTTCACAAATTAATTTCCACCAGAAATAATGACATGAAGTAGGAACAGAACTATGGTTCAAAGCAAACAATTAAATAAAAAGAGTCTGATAATGTTTCTGTGTTTCACCTTTCTGGAAGTCATTTCATTATAAAGCCACAAATTAACAAAGTGACGTTATAAATAAATAGAAGAGGGACTATCAGAGGTCAGGGTGACACATTATTGATGACAGTTACGTGCTATTATTCTGTTTTGCTATATTTAGGTGTATTTCTTTTCTTGGTTTACTTAGCGCTGATGTCATTTTGGTTTTAAGATGCTTTGTTACATGTCCTAATCAGTTGTTTTTTTTATATCTTGGTATCATGTTGGAAATAAGTGTTCTCTCTTCAACATTGAAATAAAAAAAACATATTTTGAAAATAAAAATTACATTTTTACTGACTAAAACAAATTTGAAACCCTCACCATTAAAGCAAACATATTGTAAAAAGATATTGCAATCCAGACCAAAATACTCCACAGTCAACAAATCAACAAATGTGTCTTTATCCAACTACTAACACGCAGCTCACTGAACAGAGCCTGAATCCCACAGATCCATCATTTGCACATTTCCCTCTCGCTGCCACACACTTGTTTGGCTCGTCTGCTGGAGGAGTGTGGAGAGGGATAATTGCTATAGCCACAGGGCTGCATTAATCAGCTGGGTGCATTTGTTGGTTTTTATTATGTTCCTGTCCCCTCTCTGGGCCACGCTGACTGAGCCACCGGGACGAGATGGTGGGAGGTGGAGGAGCGTGGTCGCCCCGCTGCCAGTTCACGCTGGGTTAATAAATGCTATTAGCCTCTATCTCTTGCCTCTTCATTTCTCATTTAACTGCGGACAGTTAAAACAAAACTACACGAGCAGTCGGTGTTAATCAGGAACTCGTAGCAGGACTCGGATATCTTGATTGAGAGAGCTGGACTCACGCGATGAGGGACAGCAATGTATGCTGGGATCTCTAGTATTGAGACCGGACAGTGTCATGAAATATCTATGTAGGAAATTCACACTTGATCATTCATTATATATATATAAGTAAATGTAGAAATTATGCTTATTTGCTCCTGAAAGAGAATATTTTGTATTATCTAATGTCCAGAGCTTCTCTTGAACTGTCTGTTTGCATTTACACTGTAGGCGTTTATATTGTGGGTACATGTATTTTAACTATATTAATAAGATGAGGAGTCCTTTTGATTCAGTGCAGAGACTTCAGTTATTTACTTTTATGAATTTAATTTGAAGGAAAAATCAGTTTTTATAAACTCTACTTACATTCGTGCAGTCATGTATTGTGGCACCAACACTATCACAGTTGTTCTCACTGCTTCCATTCATTATTAAAATGTCCTCGATCATGACAAGACACTTTGGTTAAATGCAATCGCCAAATGGCATATATTATCTTGAGGACATTTTTCTAACCTGCGTTGCATCTACGCTCCAAAATGAAATCCGCGATTGTGATTCCAGCAACAGCAAACGGTCTCCACTGTGTTTAATCACATTAAATATAAACAAAATCAATTGCACCGCCATGCTCTAATTTTAAATAGCTCCTTGACACCAGCCGAATCCTCGGCGACTCGTCTACGTCACCTGCATAACACAAGAGGGTCTGGATGGAGTCACCTCTAAAGCGAAGCCAGGTTGTGTCATTGCCATCCAGAAACAGGATCAATACATTCCTCTCAAGTTCATTCCAATAAGGCAGCTGGCAAAAAAACGGCCCTCGTGGCGTCAGCTTTTTGCAGCTTTATGACGCTTATGCATACGAAGCAAGCCCGCTGTGTTTAGACCCTGCAGGTAAAACAGCTAGCGCCGAGAGTGGGTAACATTACACGGTTGCTCTGAGTGTCTGCTGGACAAAAAAAGACGCCAAAACACGATAAGACTTTTTATTTATTCGTTATATTTAAAAACAGCGTGCAGTATATTTTTGACACCGAAGCAACAGCTAGCTTGTGTTTAAAAAAGGCGCTGGGGAACATGCATTTACATTATGTGTAGCTACCGATCTGTAGACTAACAGTGGGGACAACTTGTGCACAAGTAAGTGTTACCTAAAACGTCTGAGAGAAGTAAAAAAGAAAAAAAATTGTATTGAATTCGTGTCACGGAGCTGCCGGTTGGGCTCGTACCGACTTCAACGTTTCAGAACACCCACAGGGCACTAGTAACTCTTCAATTACCAGCTCCACTCTGAGGAACGGTTAACTTAAGTACAAAACTTTCAGTTTCAAATGACTTATCGTGTGTTTGATAAGGAAATTATCCTCTTTGCTTGTCTCATTCCCACAACGTTTCAGTATAAATCACCTCCGAACACGAGAGGATTGTCAAAACACTTAGAGT